AAACATAATAGTGAAAACAATGGAATTCCTAGTAATTCCCCATAGGTAAATTTGCAAGTGGGGCAAGCACAATAGCGCAAACGATTTAGCAACATTTTAAAAGATTGCACATTTTATGAGGTATAAATAACATGCTTGTCAAATGTGGCAGTAAAAATACTATGGAGGAACCGGCAGTATATAAAAATTCATTTAGATGAGTATTATATATGCCTATATATTACAACTATCAAAAGTGAAATTAGCTGACATCATTTTGAGATGGAGTTTCTGACAATCTGATGATCTGCAATCTGAGTGTGATTTGAGTTTAATTAGGGGCCGATTACATGGAGCACTTTAAACCCTGGGGTTGAACTCAGCCCTGTTAACCGGGTTGAAATGTTTTGCGATTACATGGACGATTTCATTACATGGACGATTTCAACCCTAGTTAGAGCTGTGCAAACTCTGGTTATTTTAGCTCAGGCAGTCAAAACTCCAGCTCCGGCAAGGAATTCTTAAGGAAATTTCATATTTAAAAGTATTTCAGTGTCATTTGAGAATTTATCTTTTTTAAACACCTTTTTCAAACCATGTATTGTTAAATAAAATTAATATGTCGGGTAGACGGCTACTTTATGAGTGAAAACAATCTACGACTCTTTCGTCTCAACGTTTCACCCAAAATACACTGCATTGGGTCAGTAGATTTTTGTATCAAAAGCTAGCAATGCGCTTGCAGAATTTTCAAAAATCGAAACCACGAAATGGATTGGAGCAACCGAGCAAGTAATTTAACTTTATTTAAAACAACACTATTAATAGTAAACAACATAGTAGTATATAGTACAACAACATATAAATAGTAATATATCATAGTAAACAACGACTTAAACAATTTTTTTAATTGCTGGCACTCCGGCTCCGGTGCACAGCTCTATTCAACCCTGGGGTTGAAATGTTATAAGTTACTCGGCATTGATTGTGGTTGCCAGGTGCCGAGTTCAACCCCGGAGGTTGAGATTTTCAACCCTGCTAGATGAAACCTTGTCGGATGATCAGCTGCGGCGTTGACAGAAAACGCTGGACTGTAGGAAACACTCAACCTATGTCTGTCTTATTTTATTTTCTGTTTTTCTTTAGAGGACTCCTTGTTGTCATTTGGCGAGGCCTTGTTGGACAAGGCCTTATTTTTGAATGCCAACTTAACATTGAATGCCAAGTCACCTTTGAATGCCAAGTCACCTTTGAATGTCTTGAATGCCAAATCACCTTTGAATGCGAAGTCGTCTTTGAATAACAATTTAACTTTGAATGTCAACTTAACTTTGAGAACAACTTAACTTTGAATGCTAAGTGCAACTCTAAGTCTCAAACAGTTTCTGCTTTTTCTAGTCAAAATATTGATCTTCTTTGTCAATTGTCTATCGACATTAATATTCAAAATGGTAGGGACACAAGGCATTGATTTTTAGCTATTTATCATATTTTTCCTCCCAATTTGTCAGAAAACCTTTAATAACATGAACTCCCAGTGAAAACCTCAAGTGAAAACCTCAAGCTGCGATAATTTTAATATATAATTATAACGGGAAACAACCAACTATTACTCCAATATTGTAATAACTATAACAATTTTAACCAAATAATGTAATAATATTTATATAATATTTATGTAATACTATTTTTTAATAATGTTTTAACCCAACAGCTACTAGTAAAAATTGTAGTTTATCCACACCAATTACGTTTCTTATAATTCTTATTGGCATTTTCACCTTCAGTTCACCCAAGGCAGAACATCCAAACGGAAATCTCAACCAGTTAATTAAACAATCACTTACGTCATTATGAAACTACAAATTTAGTGGGTGAGATTTTAATTATTGTAATCTTAAAAACCATAAATCTATGGTATCTACCGCACTCCCTTGTCTATTACACCATAGCGCGTATGTCGTCATTTTCAGGCCAGTGTGAACGCCTGAGCAGGCGTCTTGCTAATCATAATCTGTCAAATACTATGATGTCCGGTTGTGAGGAACATTAATTCCACCGTTAAACCATGCACATAAATGCGCAAGCATGCAAGCATGTGTTTGCTCTCTTGGTCTTTCTAACCAGGAACTCTACGCGCGTGATAAACTTTCAGCGATCATAGAAAATTGCAATGGCAACCTCGAATTCCAAAACGAAAATCGGACGTCATAATCAGCATGAGAAAGTATGGTCTCGTCTTCAAAAACGATTGTCAGACGATTTCTTCAATTACGCCAGAATCGTGCCTGAAAACATCCTAAGGATACGTTTCATAAAGCACAAAGACACAATAACCAGTTGACTGTGTTTCCACGTATACATTAAAATATGGAGCTACCTATAGCATGAGAATTTGATCTATTAATGCTAGTCTAACTGTATACTATTATTTTTTCGGCCATCTTGTTGTCTAGCCTGCTCACAGACGTTGTTATTCTTACGCCAAGCGACGAAAAACTAACGTCTGCTTATCCGAGAGCTGCACATGCATTAAACTGATTCCCTTTGTTTTAGGAGCCAATCATCTGGCAGTGTTCAAAAGCGTTAGAGCCAATTGAAAACCGCATTATTTATGGTTTAGCTACTGGGGTAAGCCCTTGCAGATGCGAATACATTGTTTGGGTTGAAATTTGTTTACTTGCGTAATAGCATAGTTGTCCGGGTTTCTTTTGTTTCAACAGAGTCGATTACTAACTAATCGCCCGCTGCGATTAGTTGTAATCGCCCGTTGGCAAGGGCAAAGATTAGATACGATAAAGATGTGCCACTCAGCGAAAATTATGTCCGAGATTTTTTTATAGCCGCCATTTTGCCAGTAAGTGCCAAATTTCCATAATTTTTGCCGAGTGGCACATCTTTATCGTATCTAATCTTTGGCAAGGGTGGCACCCATTGTCTCCCTGCCGACTACGCATTAGGCAAGTGCCTCGCGCACATAATCGTGCAACGAACAGCAACAGTTAGCTCAGCGCCGTCAATAGTCTATCATCCGATCCCTGAGTTGTCGCATCATTTAAATTACGCTCATGCATGCAGTCTCCGATTTTATACTAATATATTTAGCCGATTAAAGCGTAAAAAGTGCGCATGTGCAACAAGCTTTTACATCCCACAGGCAGAAAAGCAAATGTTTTAGCTTAAATTCGCTGATTGCAAGTAGGGCATGTTTGTCCATTTTTAAATGGGAGCGCAACTATGCTATTACAAACTAATAGCATGGCTTTTCGGGAGATTAGTGATTAAATGACCCCTTACCCTCGGCAGGTTTGTGGAATTCCGCAAACCTGCCTCGGGTTACGAGGTCATTTAATCAATAATCTCCCGAAAAGCCGGCCCCAGGTCACAGGCTAGGGCTGCCCGAATACAGGTATCGCCAAATTAATTTACTGGCAAATTATAAACCAATTCACAAATGAAACATTTGAATTCACAAGTGTTTACTGGACATAATAACCGCAGAAATAGTTCCCATGTCACATGTGTCATACATATTTAGATATATGCCATAAACGATTAAGCTCTCGTTGTCGTGTAGAAAAGTATAGCCAAGTTAGAGTATAAACGTTTAGAAGTTTGGGCGAATTGGAAAATTCATCTCGGCGCAATTACAAGTTTTCTCGGGTTTGTGCTGTGTTTACAGCTTACATTCATGCAGAAGTGGTTGCTCAAACAGCAAATTAGTTTACTTTGAAGCTAATATTTCGCTTTCTAAGCCACAGTATTGTATAAAATTTTCTGTCTTCCGAGTTCTGTTGTCTCATAAAGATAAACATTCGTCAAAAGTTCAAACTCAATTTTGACCAAAATTCAACCGACGACTGCTTTCAAAATATTTATTTATATATATTCTGCTCCTAAATCAACTGACGTCACTTTCCAGAATTTGGAAGATAAATTGTGATTGGTTGACGTAGCAGAATTAAGTTTGGCGCTCGCGGTGTAAGCCTATTTCGTCGTTTGGCGTAAGAATAGCAACGTCTGCGAGCAGGCTACTTGTTGTCATGCGTGTTGTCTCGCGTGATCTACGCGAATAATGTTCAACTCCATCACAGTTTAATGATATTCAGTTGTGTAACTCGCGGCCGTCAGTATTGATTATGACGTCCCCAAGAATCGAATGCTCGCGTCATTTTTGTCGCGTCACGAAATCGCGCAAGACCGTGTCGCTTGCAGATTTCAATACAAAAACATAAGGGAAACAGCATTCGAACGGTGAAATATGCTAATTTTACAAAGTTTGTGTACTTGATGGAGGTTTTGGGGTTAAAATTTTGCAAGCCAATGGTAAGTGTTTTATATAACATGTATTGTTCTTTCATATCAAATTTCTTTCGTTTGAAATTGCAAATCAAATAACCAAGTGTAAATACCACGAGGCTCGGACTCGGAGCGCTGTCATAGCTGCTGCATAAAATTTCGAAACTGATTATCAACTAAACAAACTGGCATGTAGCCTGCATGGCAGGCGGTATTTCTACGGGCAGCGAAAATTAGGGAAGCAAAGGAAATACCTACGTACCGCCTGCCATGCAGGCGGTACGTGTCTTGTTTCTTGTAAATGTCTTGTTTCTTTTTTTATTAGTAACAAAGTCATGGTTTGGATATGTAAACCATTCTCCATTTTAAGGTTAACATGTAGTATAAATATAAATGTTCAAATCTCAATACAGTTTTGTCACTCAACGCAATCCAAGACAGTCTGTCGGTCAACAATATTGAAATATTAAATTCAACATAATTCATTTTCATTCAGTTTTCATAAGTGCTGAATCTTGATATACTTTCTGTTTTTTCTTTTGTCCTATCTTTCTTGCTCTTAATTCTTGGTTGTTGAACTTTAAAATGCAATGCGAACGCATTTTTACAAATAACTCAATGAGGTACATGCTTGGGAAATAAGAATACTCTGATACACAAAACATTGGCAATTTTGCAATTATGTGCTCTGCAATTTTTGATCTTTGGATATAACAACTAAGTTAATCAACAACTTTGCCCTCTATTTTAGTGACATACTGAATAAATTCATCTTGAAGACCAGTCAGTCCTCCAGAGTCAGTGCTCTTGTTTTCATAAGCTTTAAAATAGCACAGTAGCTGGCTGCTGCTGGTCAGGGTAAGCTTATGTGCACAAGTAAGGCATTTCTGTTTGTCCAGGCATTTTCGCAGTAGGTATCCTGCAACATATGTCAGTGCATTCATGGACATTAAATTCTTCTCAACTTCCTCATGCTTGTAGTCTTTCTCGTCCATTACAGGTCCTTTCTTGGTGTTCTTTTGAGTACCTGGACAAGGATCTGACAAGGCTGACAAGCTGGTCACCAGAAATGTGTCTGAATCAGCAGCAGTGGCATAACTACTATGGGCTCGGACCGGGCGAGCCCGGGGTGCCCCAACCCCAATGGTCCAAATGGGGGCCCCCAGGCTCAGGTTGTAGAGCAAAAACATTGGCCAGGGTTTCTGATATGTTAGAATGTCGTTTTCTGACCATCAGAAGTCTGTAAAATCTCCCCCAAAGTCCGGGAAATGGCATTTCAGAGAGTCTAGATTAAAAAATTTCCATGTGAGCATGCCCTGGACCCCCTAAAACTTGTGCATGATATGGCACTCGACTCGTGCTTTTGGCACTTCTACTAGGGGGACCTTCGAAAATGTTTAACTGGGGGCCCCCTGATATTTTTTTTATTATTTAATAACATTATGCCACTGATCAGCAGAACAGTTGAATTATGTTCAACAAAAAAATTATATAGTAAATGACCTTAAAAAAGCTTAACCTTGATTAGTAGGTTCAACAGGATTATGTCGTGTTCCAGAATAAATTTACATTGGTCTTGAGGATGGACCTAAATACTAGTGGGACATTGATTAATTCATTTTTAAAGCTGTTCAGAAATCTAATTGGTTAAAATATTTTTTGCAGGAGATCTTTTGAAGAAGAAGTCCTGGTGTAATACCTGTAACTTAATCATCATCATTAACTGAATTTGAAGACTCTGTACTTGAATCATTTAAAGGATTAGTGTCAGGGTCATGCATTGTGGGCTTTTGTTATTGTTTACATATTACTCATTACATCAAATAGTGATAAAAATACTTGTTTGGTACATTTCTCATAAAAATCAGACAAAAAGAGCAAGGATTTATTTATAAAAGGATGGTTTAAATATATGATGGATTGTAAACACTTTCCAGATGACCTAATCTATTCGTCCCGAAAAATGGCCGCCGGCATGAGTTTGAGCCCGCAAATTCTTAAAGGAATGTTGATGGTCACAGTGGTAGTACTAGTTGATGAAACTGAACCATAAACCTCCGACTATAAGCCCTGGGCTTATATTATTTCGTAAGCGATTTTTGATGGGATTATACAAGGGGGACGCTTATACATGGATGATTTTTTGTGTTAGTGTAATAGTAATAAACATGTACAGTAATAGTGATAAACAAGCATAGTAGTAGTGATAAATAGTGGTAATTAAGTGATAAACAATAGTGATAAACAGGTGGGCTTATATTTGGGGGGGGGGCTTATATTTGGAATGAAGTGAGCATTAGTACACAGGGGGGGGCATATATTCGGAGGTTTACAGTATGGGTGCTCAGCCCAGAGTCTGAAAATAATATTTATATACCTTTTATTTAATGACATCACTGTAAATGCAAGTATTTTGTTTACATTCGCAGCCTTTCATACATATACCACATAGGCGACAGAGCTAAATGTACACGCCACAAAAACTGTATTTTCATACACATTAAATACACATTTGTATGGAACACATAATTTTTTAATAGTTCAAAATATAAAAGACAAATTTCACAACAAAACAGATTAATAGGCATTTAGTTTTCGTTAATATATTTTACTATAATACTATTTAGTACGTAATTGTACCTAAATCATTATATGATTACACAGGATTGAAAAATAATATGATAAACTCATTTTGTTTTACTGTATATTGAAGAAAACCAAACATCCAACCTTTCCCATATAGTTGTCCTTTTAGAATGTTGTAAAGTCATTTGTTTTTAAAAATTTAAAAACACAATTCCTTTTCGTGGTATTAACTTCGTCCTGGAACATAAACATATTTGATATAAATTGATTTGTAGTGGCTAAAATCTCCGCCGTTTATGTTCTTCGTGTCTGCAGGAACCGGCGTTAAACTTAAAAAAAATTAAAAAAAAAAATTACATTGGTTTAAAATATAGCCTTCTATAAACCTAAGTCCAAACTATCCTGCAACTTCCATGCCAAACAGCCAAAACAACATGAACAGTAAGAAACTCCCCCGAAACTGACAAGGGTTCTTGACGTTCGAACAATCGAAAATTAAACTTCATCATTCGAGGCTTCAGGCTCAGTGTTAACCAAAAACCAAACAATATTTTCAAACATACATCGTTATTCCTAGGATGTAGTGCTAAAAGTTTACATGCTTTCGATGTGACTTTACGTTGGAAACACCTTTTTATAGTTTCTGAAACTTTGTCTTTGTTCTTCGTATTCACATTTGAAGCATGGACGTCATGGGCCATGGCACTTCTCACTCCTCGAGTCATATAATTTCATTTTTTGTCGATATCAACCGATTCTTAAAGGCATTTTCTTGTGGAAAATTTAGAATAACATCCCTTCCTGTAAAATTTGTGTAAGTCCAGCATTCCTGATGGATATATTCTTTAAAATTGTAGTTTTAGTGTCCAAATTTTTTATTTTCCTATATGCTTTCAGACAAAAAAAACACATGACACGGTCTTTTGCTTCGCGCATGCGCATTAACCATGGGGGGACAGGAAATTCCGCGAGTTACACAACTGAATATCAGGGCGCTTATATATAGGGCGGCGCAACGAGAGCGCGCGCGCTGATCGACGTGTGATGCGGAAAAAAACTGGGGCTAGTACGATTTTGAAGGAAATTGAAAAAACCCGCGATTTTGAGTTATTCAGTTCGTCTGGCCATTTCTCTCAATCTTTTTTGTGTGAGAATGATTTAAATGGCAAAATAGTTAAACTATTTCTTTGGCTAAAGGGTCTGTGTGCTGTAATGGTAAAATAGCTTGTACAAGAGAATTTATGGTCGATAATGTCCGTGCCTTTTTATGACTTCCATGGAAACTAAATTTCAAATGAGGATATCTTGTGTGAATCTACTGCCAACACCTACGAACTAAGGTATGTTAGAGTTCATTATTTTATGTGTACGTACTTGAATCTTTCATAAAAATCGAAGTTGATTCTTAGAAGATATCATGGCTGAAATAAGACCCTTTTTCAGGCCCTGTTTTTTCCACTTTTGCCTGTCATATTTTTTGAATGTTATAAACAATACGAAGTGTTGTGACCGGCTGTTATTTGCATTAGTTCTGTCGATGTATTGCTAAAGTTTCATAAGTATTGAAGCATTTTTAATATGTTTTCAGAGCATATTTATCACATAGTTCTGTACAGCACGAACCTAGTAAGTTGAGAATATGCTGGGCGCTTTATAGGTTAAAATTCTGCCAACACCGTAGTTCTTCTTCGGATGCTAGGCGAGAAGTATTATGTTCGATATTCGTTGAAATAAAATAGTTTGAGATTGATTCTTGGCCTCTATCTAACTTGTAATCTGGGGTACTCGATCGAAGGTTGATGTTTCTTCTATCGAACATTGAGCAAAAGCTGATCATATGCATTGCTTTCGCACTTTCAAAAGTCTTTTGCAGTGAAAATGTCGTCAGCAGTTTTAACCGAAAAATTTGGAAAATCTAATATTTTAAAACAAAAACTTCAAACTCAATTTATTTTATCCTCGATTTTATCCAAAACTTCGAGAGTGTTATAGTTATTGTATACTATAATTATAATAACACTGGGTATAAAATAGATTTGGATCTTGTATATTTTTATGGTTTCCACGAATGTTTGTGTTTCGGACAATATAAGATGTGCTGATGAATCGAGGCTGCAAGATTTAATACACTGTGTTGGATAAAAATGTTTGATTATTTGATGTAAAAGTCTAGTAGTCAGGTCTTAATAAGTTCTCTAGTTTAAAGTCTATAGGCTATACTCTGCTCTAGTGCTAAGTTCTTTTATACGACGTCCAAAAATAATGCAATATGATCGACTACAAACTGTATATTAAACTATAACATGATATTAAAGTGAAATTTCGTTCGTTTTATTTATTGTTGTTTAGTTCATGTTTGATAATGATAATAATAAAGCTACCGACAACTTATTCAGTTGAAACAACGTTAAAAACCGGGTGAAATGAAGTTAATTTCACAATTTTTAATATTTGTTTTTATTACAGCGTTGTTGCTATGCAGGTTGCTAAGACATAGAGCGATGTTAAGTTAAGATTGACTACCACTGACCGTGTAGTGCAGGAAATTGTTTACCAGGCCCCGCATCACACGTCGATCAGCGAAATCACTGGCGTTGCGCCGCCCTATATATAAGCGCCCTGCTGAATATCATTAAACTGTGACTCCATGTTCACCGGGGAACATGGATGTGGTGGATGGCTCGCAACGCATGACGTAACGCGTGATATCGCGATTAATTTCATGCTCACGTGCCACAAACTGAGCTTTCTGATTGAATATTTTGAAGTTGAGGTATAATATTTTATTTGCTATCTATCGGCTGCGAGGTCAGGGTGAGAAAAACAGTGCCTGAGGTCTCAGCATGCAGATGTAACACTAATTCATTAAAATTCCAGTGTTGCTTGCGAACTAGCTAAATCTCGAGGAAACTGGCGAGAAATACACAAAAAGACATAATAGTTTCAGTAAAACGTGCTTTTGTCATGAATATGGTAGCAGGAATTAATGAAACGTTTAGAAACAAATTCATGAGTGTTGTTTTAGCTGAACAAATTTTTTAGCGACAGGTTCATGTTAAGTTCAGTTGCTTTGCCGATCAAAACTGACACATATGAAGGAATCTGTTGTGATTTAATGAACGCTTTTCTACTGAAAGGATAACGAAGAAGACATGCTGTTTTAAATTTTGTATTTTGGCTGGTCGTTTCACGATAATATACTTGAAAAATGTGTTTTTAAACACAGACTTTGACTTTGTTTATACAATTATATTTATATCAGTGAAAAATGCATGACACAAATGGGTAGAGAATATATATTCATGATTTGTTTTCGCTGCAGTTATAAACCTACTTTTAAGATTGCATGTTTGAGGGGAAAACATAAATTTTCTTTTAAAGTATCTATTTAAACTGTGATTTCCTTGCTTTTAAGTGGCCAAACTTTCAATGCATCTTTCTCAAGTTATTCAGTGTCATCAATTCTGGTGTACATCGTGCTTATTATGAAGTCTCTAGAGCTTGATGCAATTCATTCTCGTATTCTGACTGAGTTTTCAAACATTTTGGGCAGAATTTTTAGTTTAAAAATTGTTTCACTTCCCGGTTTTGGCGCGAAAACCAGAGCGCGGGAAGTTGCGTTTCACAGTGGACATTTGCGTTTCAGGTCGGGGAGGATTAGCGGTTAGGGATAGGACTATGGGTTAGGGTGAGGATTAAGGTTAGCATTCATAAATAGCGAGACATGAACTTATAACCCAGATCGGGCCGGAAAAAACCGGCGTCCCGCTGTTCACCGATTATAAACACCGGCGTCCCGCTGTTCACCGATTATATATCTATATCTATCTATATATATATATATATATATATATATATATATATATATATATATATATATATATATATATATATATATATATATATATATATATATAGTACAATCTGCAGACATACATGTTTCGGCGTTCAACGCCTCGTCAGTGCAGCTTGGTACACGTCTAGATACGTGAGACACTCGTATTTATACCCCATGAACTTGCTCTCACCAAGGCATGTGGTACAACACGGTGACTCAACGCATCCAGACATGCGCAGAGCGTAATGGGGCCAGAGTGCTCAAACGACCACAAGGGAAGTGAGCTTTGGTATGAACTACTTTGCATATGTATTTGAACTGCCAGGCTGACCTGGTTCCCAATCTGATAAAACTTTCTCCCTATAAACACAAACTGGGCTGGTGTGGATGGAAGTTCTATGAATGCTGCTGTGAGTTATGTAGAAAAACTGTTAAAACACTGTAAACCCACTACACTTGTGCTGTTTATAAAGCATATACAATCACAACAAATTTGTTATTCATATATTTTATAACACTTCATTGAACAATGTTTTACTAAGTCTATACCTGCATACATAACCACCATCATCGAAATGCAAACAAAAACATCCCATTTTATACAACAATTATTATACAACAACATGCTAGAATCCATGTATTAGCATTAACATCACACTGATATAGAGCATTTGCACATGACGTCACAGCCGCCATGTTGGTGTTCCAATTCAAAATAATTTTAATTAGACTCTTGTCTGGAACACCAACATGGCTGCCATGGCTTTTGTTGAGTTGGTCCCTGGGGAATGAGTGCAAATGCTCTATACAAGCAGGTCCTAATCTTAACACACTGCAAAACCACAGCCTCAAATCAAAGTGCTTGGGGACAAGGCTGGCAAAACCAGCATATCCATTATTCACAATAAATGCAATTTCTGGATCTGCTTCATATGGTGCCATTATGTAATGAATATCTTTTTCACAGCAAAGCTGAAAGGTGGATAATAACAAATTGTTATTTACTGCACACAACTACTTTCCAATTTACTCTATAATTTTTTATGCATTTGTACATAAAAAGGGTGTCGTTGAAAAATGGGAATTTGAATTTTGCAAAATAAATTGATCAAATGTCTGATTAGCAATGTATTGGCATGGATTATAAATTGTTGTGACATTCCTGTGCACCAATAAAATGTAAATTCTGGGGAGGGGTATGGGCAAGGTGTGAGGATTTGGATTTTTTTTTAATTTTGGGTAAATTCTAGTGAGTGGAAGGCATACAAAGTTCTTGAAAACTAGATGTGAAAACTAGTATGTGGTTCAATTTAAACCACATCATTTTTCTTACTCTCCATATATTGTTATGCAAAGCGGTTTCCTGCCAGCTGCAAATTGCCATTGCAATGACCTTTTATTACTTAGATGCTATTTATATGACCTTGGATACTAGAGACACCCAATCCACACGAGACAACTTCACTGCATGTTTATATGAAAAAAATTTATAGCCCTGGCACTGTATCTCTTCCTACGAGAATGGCTCTAAGTATGAGATTGTGACTCCTGAAACATGCAGTTATTTGTTTGAAGGCCTGGGAATGAAAAGTTATCCCTGGAGGCCGAGACAAACTATTTACATGGACAAAAGTTGTCCCCCTCCTACAAGGGTAACCCTGTTTTGTAAACAGGGTGTCCCTACTGCCAGGGTGACCCTACCAGCCGAGACGAAAACTTTCCATATAAACACTTGCGTTTAAATGTTATATAATGAATATAATTTTGCCTCTCCCACCCCGAGATCATATAAACAGCACCTCATCTCTTTTCAATGTTACATTATATTTACAATATTTGTGATACCAAAAATTGAATTGGCATG